AAGGGTGCTTTTTGAACAAGTGGATTGTTCAAAACAGGACAGAGTTCACACATTGCATTTCATGATTATGATTCTTAAATTTCTTTTACTCTTTTACAGTCTGTTTTACCACCCTTGTTTTTTCATGCCACTGATTTGATAGAGGTACCAGGCTATTTTTTCTTGCTGAATGTTTGACCTTCTGGATTTGACTGATCTCTTCCTTGGGGTGCTTTTTAAATTTGATTCTCTGTCTCTATATTTCCCAAGAGGTTTAGAGGCTTGATTAGATTCAGAATCAGTTGCTTAGGCAAGAGTATCTCATATTGACTGGTTCTGGGTACTTCTGATTTTGTCATATCATGATATACATGTATGTCTGATTGTCGGATTCTCAGTTTTTAATTTTTTTCTTTCTTATTTTAGTTGCTCTCTCTCTTTGGTGAGATTCTGAATTATGTTACATTTCGTATATTTGCCCAATCAAATTAAAAACAAAAGTTGAAATTCACATAGACAAAATGACTAGGCAGAATAGCAGTGGATCTGGGTCTCTTAGACAATTTGTATTTAAAGAAGCTTCTCCTGCTTCATAGACAAAGAGATCGACTGCATAGGGTAAAAATATATAAGATATGAACTCTTAGGGATTACTGAATGTAAAATTACAAAAAGTGCATCACTAATTACTATATTTATCAACTACATTATTAAAAGTCAGGATGAAAACAGCTGAAATTATAGAGTTATTTGCTAATTAGCTTACGGATTTCCAATGTCATTTGCTTCTGGCCCTTTTCCTCTTCCTTAGGGAACTTGACATGGCATCTTACTGGTTTTTTAACGCCTCCAGAAACTACTGTATGCTTATAACTGACCATAAATTGTACACGTGGAGAGACACGTAAGATATTATGACTCAGGATCCATGTTGTGTTACTGACTGAGATAAACTGTGAGCAGTTAGCACCAGAGTTGCAGATTTTCAGACCAGAAAGTAGTTAGAATTCTGCCGGCTACCTAGGATGTTATCTGTTGCTTGGTAAAGAAATAGAAACACTAATCTGAAGGTCAGTAAGCCTGCTGAAGAAAGAGACAGTGTATTACCATGCTCCTCAGGTGCTAGATGTGTTCTGCTATGGGTCCAGCCCTGGGGTCTGCAGCCATGACTGTACGTACGGAGCTTTTTACTCACTGATGCCCAGACTCCACAACGGAATCCAGGCCTCTGAGGGTGGGACCCAGGCACTGGTAGTTTGGAAAGCTGCTCAGGTGATTCTCATATGCAGTCAGGGCCAAAAATCTCCAATCTAGCCCATAAATAAGAGGTACCAATTTTAGGTCTTACTGTGCAGAAGGTCTCTTTTGCACGTAAGGAAACTGATGCTTGGAGAAACGGTATTTTCTCAATGTCTTGCTATAAAGCAAAATTTCGTACCCAGTCTGTATGGCTTCAGAACTAGGGGCTTTGAACTTTTTTTGAAAATGACCCAAAGTAGGACATGAAATTTACATCATAACTTAGAACACACAGGATAAGGAAAACCAAGTGTAACAAATAATGTTATTAAATATGATGCACTGTGATATTTTGTTTTATTTAATTTTTAAAATCCTGATTGAAGCTCACTAAGGCGATTTCATGACTTGCAGTTTGAAACACTCTGTTCCAAACACATAGCAAGATCTTTTCCCTATCGATGCCTTTCATTTTGTTTGTTTTCTCATCTCATTTTTTAAGGGCCATCAAGTTGGTTCCTGGCTAAAAAGCATTTCCTAGGACTACACCAGTTCACACTGTCTCTTATTTTAATGCCTATAATTAACATAGAGATCTCATCATACTTTTTAAAGTACTAAATTATCTGATATAGTGTGATGCTCTGTAATTCTCTTATATTTTACATGGTTATGTCTCCTTGACAAAATTTAACCCTTTTGAGATCAGTGATCATGTTGTATGCTTTTGCTTGTGTACTTTTCAAAATGTCTAGCACATTGCAGATGCTAAAAATAGCTGTGTGACCTTAGACAAGTCAATCCCTGAGCTTTTATTTATTTTTTGTAAAAAGTTTCAATTGTTTATTGGCATAACATTGGTTAATAACATTATATAAGTTTCAGGTATATGACTTTATAATACAACATCTTTGTACTCCATGTGTGCTCACCATTCAAAGTCTAGCCTCTCTCCATCACCGCAGACTGGAACTCCTCTGCCCTTTTCATCTCTCCCCACCGTGCCGCGCTTTCATCTCTTCATCCCTGAAATGAAAAGGGCTGTTTCATCTTAATTCTAAGGTCTCTTCCAGGTTTTTAAGTCTTTTTTTTCTATGCTATCCAAGGAATTCTTCCATAAAATATAGAATGAATATAACATCTGAGATGTTTTTATGGACAACTGTAAGAAGTTCTTGTATGGAAATAAAAAGGCTGACATGGTATAGCATTTTTAGTAGGCAAAATAGAGACTGTGCTACCTCTGAAAAGATTCAGAACAACTTATTGGAGTTTGAAAATGAAGCAGGGCCCGGTGTCACTTGGATACTGAAATGTGATTATTCATAGGCCACATTTCTTTCTCAAGTTGAATGAATATATATGCAGCAAGAAATTTCCATGGACTCTTATTAAGTCTAACTGATTACATAATAAAACAAAGCTTAACAATAAATGTGGGTTTATGGGCATGTGGAGGCAGATGTATATTGAGTTAGGGAAAAATTATTGAATACAATTAGGTTTTAGGTATTGTTTGTCTAACAGCGGTTTGTTAAACATTACCAAAGACCTTCCCAGTGGCTCCTGAGGCCAAAGGATGTGCTGGCTGGTTCAGTCACTTGAAATCCCATGACCATCAGCATTCTTTTTATTCTGAGGCTACTGGCGGAGGAGCCACAGAGGTAGTCAGTCCCTTTGGTGTATGTATGTGTGTGTGTTTGGGGAATGGAGGGCTATGGGGCATGGGTCATCTATGATCTTGACCTACTCAACATTCATTTCCTCTCTGTTAACAGCACTAATTTTCTTTTGGGGAACCTCCTCTCTCCATGTGGCATGGGTATGTACTGGGGAGAGCGTGGGCACTAAAGATGTCTACCTTGACCCTTTTCAGACATAGGTAAATGACCCCAACCTGGCTGTGCGTATTCCAACTCATGGTTATAACGCCTATAACCATGATTAGAGATGGGCACAGAACCCAAGGGAGTCCAGTGAGACTCATTCCTTGGCCTGCTCTCTTGCTAATGGGATCAGTTGCCAAGGATGTTGGAGGAGGAGATAAACCTGGGCTTGTAGGTCTAGGTCCTGATTAGAGAAAATAAAACCAGTGTAATCAAAGCACAGCCATGATACAGAGAGAAACTGAATCCTGACACTCTTTCAGTACCTGGAGGGGAAAAAAAAGATTTAGAAATACTCTTTTTTTCTCCCCCAGTTTTAATCTTGGGATTCATAAGCACATGAACTAATACATTCCAATCTCCTCCACTGTAGGTTTTCTTGTCAGTTTGAGTTGGATACCCTGTTACATCCAACTATCCTGACTATATAGATTATCACAAAAGCAGGATATCTTCTCTCGGTAACTGCCAACCTCCTCCCTCATCTTAACGTGTGATCCAGGCAGCACCATGCCTTGCGGTGTTTTTAGAGTTCAAGGCTTATTTGCTCTCCATCTTGTAACAGAAGTTGCTTCAACCTTTTGCATATTGTCTCCTTGACTTCTTCCCCCACACGTCCACATGTGCTTATTTCACAGCTGCAGGTGGCAGGAGAGAAAGATATGAGGTTCAGAAAGATCTGAAGTTGCAGGCTACTGATGGAAGAGTTTTTGTGCAAATCAGAAAATAACTCTCCCTCTGAGCCTCATGCCCACCTCTCTGGGTCCCAAGCTAGGTCTTCACCTCCATGCCTACCTTCCTCCACCTCCACCAGAGGACCCTTTGTAGGGTACAAATGACACAACACTGCTGAGGTCCTACACTACTAAGAAGCAAGAGTTGGAGCCCTGAAAACAAGCCTTCTGCTCACACACACTGTTACTGTGGACTCTCCCGAGGCTGATGACAGGTGCGGATTCTGTGTGTCTCGGGGGGCACCCCCACACTGGGCATACCCCACTGTGGTCTCAGCAGTCATCACAGATGTCGACAGGTGGAAAAACAGTATCACTTGCACTTGAAAGCAGCATTTCTCAATATCATTTACATCTTAAGGTATGGTTTCAGGAGGGCCTTCCAAGTTCAGCGTGGAGACATTTAATTCCAGTCTTTTTTGATGAAAGGCAGTGCTTCAAGAAATCCAGCTTAAGGCCACCTGGTAATTGGACATTAGAAGAGAACAGGGCACAGGGTAAAGCAGGGCGTTTGGCAAGGCTCCCATGCCACACACCAGTGACACACCTTCAGGGGCCAGTCTAGGAGCCCCAGCTGGTCTTTAGTTATTCAGTCTCCTGCACTCCTGGGGGAGACCGTCAGCACTGTGTTAGGGTTAAAGGAACAATAAGCAGGAAACAAGAAAGGAAAGGCAATTCCACTGGCTTTGGGGACGCGGGCTAGAGCATCGTCGCTGGGCAGGGGTGTGTGTGTGCCTGGGGAGGATGGGTGGGGGGTAGAAGAAAAGACCCTAACGAGGAGAGGGCGATTGATTGGGAGAAGGCGCGAGGTTTCACGAACCATCGTTGGGGGGCGCCAGCCAGGGCGAGGGTGGCCCCATGTGCCGGGTCGGAGCGCTTGTCCTACCTTTGCCCAGGCTGAGGGGCCACCAGACCTGGCGGGAAGCTCGGGAAGCAGACTGGAAAGGGCGAGCGCAGCCTCCCAGGGGCACCCCTGACGGCGGCCTCCGGAATCTCTGTCTCTGTTCCCCACGCTCTTAACTTGCCTCCCCAGCTCCCTCTGTCCACCCCCTCACCTCCGGCGCTAAAACGCGGAGGGCGCCTTTAAGAGCGAGCTTTGGTTACCCTGGGGGCGGGAACCCCCAGCAGATCGAGAGGCGGCGGCTCCCGGCCGCGGAGGTCCTCACTTTCTGCTCCAGCTCCCGCCACCGCCGCCGCCTGGAAAGCCCCTACCTTCTCTTCTTCCTTCTCTTCCTCCTCCTCCTCCTCCTCCTCCCCAGCCTTTAAGCGTTGTTTTCTGCAGCGGAGGAGAGAAGTGCTATGTCAGGAAAGTTCCGGGAGGCACTGGATGGGGCCACGCTCCCTGGGCTCTGCGGCCGTCCGCGCGCAGCCCTTTGTATGAGGTGAGATTCGGGGTCCCAGGGCGTCCGGGACAGGTAGCCGGGGTCGGGAGCCCCTTGATCACGACGTTGGGAAGGGCTGTGCGGTTGGGCGGAGTGTGTGGCGGAGAGGGAGACTGGTTAGACTGAAGTTGTGCGGGAGAAGCTCGGGTTTTCGGGGAGATGTTTGCGCCTGTACTTGAGTGATTTCAGCGGCCAGCGCCGCACGGTGGGGCCGGCCGGGACTCGGTTTCCCCGGGCGCCGCCTCGCCTGGCCTTCCCACGGCCCCTGCCCCCATCCCCTGCCCCCATCCCCTGCCGGCCGGAGCAGTTAGGCCTTCTAGGAAAGCGGGAGGCTGCAGGTTGGCTGCCAGTGCCAGATTTCTCCCCGCAGGGCTCGCTCCCCGGGAGGCTAAGCAGCGAGTGAAGGATGGGGTGGAATCCTATTGAACTTTTACACTGTGGACTCATCACTCTTGGGGGTGGGGGGTGGGGAATTCACCTCGTTTGCCCAAGTGGGAAGGCTCCTTGCGAGCTCCGACACTTCGGAGAGGTTGCTTCTTGCATGTGGGTAAGCTTGCGGCGCTGTGTGTCTTTTCTGCCTCGGTCGTTCAGCATCGCCCTGATTTTCGTTTTCCCTCCCCCGCCCCCTTTGCTTTTGGGAATTTTTTTTTTTTTTAAAGGAAAAATATCCTAGAGGCCCAGCGTGCTAAACAACAAACAAACACACTCAACAATATATCTTTCTGAAATTGGCACGCCACCCCTAACAGTGGCCCGAATTTTCAAAGTGATCATGTAGTCTCCGATTGAATATTTAGACTGAGTCTATGCACTTAGGACAAACAAGTAGCCCTTTTGCAGGTTTTTTTTCGGTGATTAAGATGAGTTTTTACCCATTTTTTTAAAAAATAGTTTTCTCTTGCTGATTTTCATCGTCTCACATTAATAGGCTCCAACTAATTTTAGAGTACTTTTTCTAAGAATTATAAATAAAATCTGATGTTTCTTGCATAATATGACATTGCTTCTGACAGTTTGACCCTTGGATGAGGTATGTAATGCATGTAATTATTTGGTGAAACCTAATTTGTGAGTACATTTATTACGCAAATGAGTAAGTTTTCTTTTTTCATGTGTCCTTTGGTAACTGAAGCCTATTTTCTCACATCCCTAAGTGTCTCCCACACCTGTCTATTCCTGTTTCTGTCTTCTCCACTGATACTGTGTATGTCTGATGTTAGCTACAAATCAACGGTGCTGTTGAAAAGTCCCTATATTTTGTGAAGTGTTGTAATGGCCCAAATTTTAGTGACATAATTGATTACATCATCCAAATTATTTTGAACAATAAAAATAGAATGTGGGAACTTGTTTGAAGAAAAAGGTATCATGAAGTATTTAATCAAGTATATGCTTTACATATAATTTTGTGTGTGAAAAATATACTGCCAAAATAGACAGGGAATAGTGTATCTAACATCTCGTTTGCAATGGGGAAGTTATGAGAGAAAATTATTCCAGAACAACCATTAATACAGCATTTTACTTGCGCTATAGATTTTCATCTCTGAGCAGTTTTGTCACACTGCTGTCAAATATACCAGAGCTGAAACTTTATGTAAAGAACTCATAATCCCAAGGATTTTCTGAAAATTGCAGCAAACTGAATATTCTTGGAAAAAAAATTTGCTTAGAAAAAGTCACATACTTAAACCCTAACTGCAGTTACCATTTTACCTTAAGTGTGCTGGACTCCAGGCCATACGAATTTGGGTTTTTGAGGTAGGTGTGACTTAGTTCTTGAATTACATTGATTAATATTAGTCCCTTGAGATTTTGTATGTGGTTTATTTGATTTGAGATGATTGCTTTGTGAATGATTCTTTTTGAAAATAAATGTATATGTATATCACAACATATACTAAAAAATCCATATATATTTATATGTATCATATATATAACAGGACTAATACATAATATTTATTATATAACATGTATTATGTATAACTATATATAATAATAATATATATAACAAGGAAAACTTCAGGGACTTGATAATACACATGCATTGAGAAGAGCAGGCCTAAAACACCAAAAGCTAAACATCGTTACTATTAGAGCTTGTCATCTCTTCAGCATTTTCATAAATACCAGTTAGGTTAAAAAATACTGTTTCCCAATATTTTCTTATTCTGGCACAAAGCTAGGACCAGGGAAGCCATATGCCAAGGATCCCAGTCACATATTTATTGAGATGGACTGAACTATTCCATCAATGGAAGATTGAATCAGGCATTTCTTAACCTTCAGTAGAGGCATCCCTAGGTCAAATTCCCCGTGCCAATGTAGGTTTGTTTAACTCTTCAAATGACCTTCAGGGCATCCCCATTGGTTTGGGCTTAGAGCAGGGGTGACCAGCCTGTGGCCTGTGGGTGGTCAAGTTAGTGGTCACAAACTTGGAACCTGCTTGATGATTTTAAGAGATTATCAAAAGGGCCACTGCATAATTAGGGTTATTATGTGAAGACCTTTTTGCTTATCTGTGGTGGTGGATATCATGAAAATTATGCATGAACCTTTTTTTTTTCCTCATCAGTTTTTGTTAGTGTTTGTGTTTTTAACGTGTGGCCCAAGACAACTCTTCTTCCAGTGTGGCCTAGAGACACCAAAAGGTTGGATACCCCTCGCCTGGAGAGTAGATTTCAAAGGCATGGGGAGGCAATCTTTGAGAAGGTTTTGGTATTCCAGTTTGCGAAATGATGTCCTAAGTATTTGATTTGAAAGAGGGACCCATTAATGCCTGGAAAAATAATACCTACATTAAAATTTTAAGAAATTTGGATGAGCATAGAAGGAGAAATTTAATGTTTTACATGGAAATACAGGGTCAAGAGAGGAATTTTTGCCTTGAGGATGATAAGTACGTAATTTGAAGTTGTGGGAAAATGGAGCATGTTTGTAAGTAATAGAGCAGTGAGAATAGAGATAGACAGATTGAAGAAAAGGGGGGAATAATAGAGTTTTTATCTCAAATGTTTATTGTGATAATTTTTAATGTCCACAGTTTCTTTGCTACTGTCCCATCAAGAGGTGGAGACTCATTCTCTTTTTTCTAGGGGACTGAACTTAGTGATTTACTTATAAAAAAAATAGAACGTGGTAGAAGGGATCCTATGTAATTTCCATAGTAAGTTTAGAAAATAAATAGCTTTTTCCTGGCTCTTTCTTCTGAGATTTAGCTATTGAAACTCAGTTACCATGCTATGAGGAAGCCCATCCCACATGGAAGGAAACCTGTAGGTATTCCTACTGAGATCTCTGCTAACAATCATGTCAACTGCAAGATATCTGAATGAGGAAGCATGCAAGATGATTTAGCCACCTCTTACTTAGTAAAAACCATCAAGTGAATCTGTTCAACCTCAGAACTGACGTAATAATAACTGTTGCTGCATTCCACTAAGTTAGGAGAGATTTATTATGTAGTAATAGATAGCTAGACTGTTTTTTGAGTACTTACTATGTGTCAGGTACTGTGTTAAAGATGAACCATATAAAGGTGTTCAACATCAGATCCGTTCTCCCTGTCCAGAAAGAGGTTTAAATCTGATAAAAGACATTATTGTATAATCCTATACTATGTGCACAGTCTTAATAATAAAGTGCTCAATTGATGAGGAAAAAAACAACACAAAAACCGATAATACAGGGCTTCAGTCACTCTAAGAAAAGCTTTGAGATATTTCTCACCACATTCCACAGCTGAAACTGCTACATTTCAGCATGTGTATGAGAATTAGAAATAGAAGGAAATAATTTTTATATTAATTTTTTTGCTTTAATATGCTAAGTATTTACCAGAAATGTGTTTATATTTGCTACACATGCCCTTGCATGTAGCAATTTTTTTTTTGAAGCTATGACATGTGTGTATTTAGGGTGATTTCTTAGTTGTTTACTTGAAACAGACAGTAATGTGTTTCCCAGAGTTTATGTTGTGAGTCTTGGGCTCTCAAAAAACAACATTTGAAATGTTTGACTATGAGCTTGAAGTCACAGACTTTCAGTATTGATGGGATTTGGGTCAATTATAGTTTCAAGTTTCCTGGGAATTTTCTGTTAAAGGTCAGATGTGGCCCTAGTTTCAACGGGATAATCCACATAATAGGTACTTTTCCAGCCACAAAACATGCAGAACATTCCAAATAATTTGCAGTGTGGGCAGCCCAACATGGTTTCACATTTAGTTGGCTTGAGGCAGTTTGCCATGCTTGTAAAAAATGGTTTCTGAAGCTGACAGACAGCAAGCTGTTTTAGTCTTTGAGTTTGACACATAGGATAAAGTGCCTTTTAGTTTCTGTGCCAGTAAATATGGACAAGATTGGTAAAAGTAATTTGTTTCCATTTCTGTCTATGTGGCAGAAGATTCAAAAACTCAGGCATGAAACTCTAGCTTAATATACTGGAAAGTTTATTCATGTTCATTAAAAATGTAGTGAAGAGTTGGAAGCCTGGATTTTATCATCGTTTTTAGGCCTTGGGCAAGAGTGAATGTCCATTCACAGTTAGGAGGATAATCCTGTGATCACCTATTGAAATTAATAATAACACTGTTATTTTCATTATTTCATTAAGGGAGAATGCTGAAGAAGTTATACCCTCCCAGACCCAATTTAGATTAAAAACCATCCCCAGCCAGATACTGTGCCAATCACCTGGCATACATGTTAATCGATTCTTAGATAATTTTCAGTTGAAACCATTATGTGTCATTATAGTTGTAAGCTTTACTTAGCCTTTCTAGGTTTTTGACCAAACCTTCTTAGTTAACTATTTTTCTTTCAATTGGCTTGATGAAACCTATGTCACTAAAGCATTCGAAAAATGTTTTGAGGAATTTTTTTTTTAAATCCTCACAAGAGGGTATTGATTTGAGAGAGGGAGAGAGAGAAAGACGGAGAGAGAGAAGCATCGACTGGTTTTGCCTCCCATACATGCCCCAACCGAGGGTCAAACCCACA